GCCTGTAGTCCCAGCTACTTGGGAGGCTGAGGCAAGAGAATCGCTTAAGCCCAAGAGTTTGAGGTTGCTGTGAGCTCTGATACTACAGCACTCTACTGATGGTGACAAAGTGAGACTCTGTCTCAAAAAAAAAAAAAAAGGAATGGGAATACTGTCTATGAAGTGCATTGTTGTGCAGCCTGCCACATGCCTAGGCTGTGTGCTGTTGTGTGTTGTTCCCAGGCCACACGCCTATAATCCTGGTACTCTGGTAGGCTAAGATGGGTGGATTGCTTGAACTCAGAAGTTTGAGACCAATCTGAGTACCTCTGAGACCCCATCTCTACTAAAAATAGAAAAACTAGCTGGGTGTAGCAGTAGGCACCTATAGTCTATAGTCCCAGCTACTCGGGAGGCTGAGGCAAGAGGATTGCTTGAACCCAAGAGTTTGAGGTTGCTGTGAGCTATGAAGCCGTGGCACTCTACCAAGGGCAACAGAGTGAGACTCTGTCTCAAAAAAAAATTGTAGTTTTCAGGATACAAATTTTGTACATCTTTTGTTAGATTCCTCCTTATTTCTTTTGGTGCTACTGTAAATGGCACTTTTTCTCATTTCAATTTCCAATTGTGCATCGCATTATATGGAAATGCAATTTTATTTTGTCATCCATATATCTTGCAACCTTACTGGACTTCCTTCCTGGTCTGGTCAGAGTAGCTTTACTGCAGACCCTTTGGGGCTTTGCATGTAGACAGTTACATTATCTGTGAACAGGAACAGTCGTGTTTCCTGCTTCAGATCGTGTACCTCTTGCTGGTCTTGCCTGGCAGCACTCACTGATCTCCCGGTCGATGTTGAGTGGACACAACGTTGGTGCAAGCCAACGGCCCTACCCGCCCCAAGCATGAGAAATAGCATCCTCCTCTGAGGAAGTGTGGTGTCACCTGTGGGTTCTTCAAAGATGCACTTTATTGGGTTGAGGAAGTTTTGATCTCAGTTTCGCCAGATAGATGTTTTATTCTAGATGGATCTTTAATTCCAGATGCATGTTTAATGGTGCTTTGTTTTGGATGACTGTGAACCTCAGAACCACTGTACTATGCTGGAGGTTTGCCCTAGGGAACTTAGAGGGCTTCCCTGCTGTTTGTAGCTCAGCATTTCTGTCCTCACCAGGTGCCACCATCTCACCAGCCCACTTCCCACTCTTGGTTGGTGGGGGCCCCTTGGTCAGAGAAGGAGGGGCTGCCTGTCCTCTGCCTTTCCTTCTGGGCTGAACAGTGTTGCCTGCTGTCCTGCCCTCCTAAGGGGCCATGGTTTGCTTCAGAAGGGCAAGATCTGGGCCACCCTGAGCCCAGCAGTCAGGAGCACAGGTGGGCCTTCCTATCCACCAGGCCCATGTTGTATCCCAGGCCAGCACAGGGGAGATGCTCAGAAAATACTTGTTGCTGCCACCTTTAGACACCTTGTATCTGTGACTCCATCAGAGTGCTAAGGTCCCTACCACGTGGTGCCCAACTGTGCCCACAGACATTGGCCACTTCACCTTTTCTTGAACTCGTGAGCTCAGGCAATCTGCCTGCCTCGGCCTCCCAAGTGCTAGGATTACAGGTGTGAGCCACCGCGCCCAGCCCACGCACGCTTTACCTTTTTTTTTTTTTTTTTTTTAGAGACAGAGTCCCACTCTGTTGCCCTTGGTAGAGTGCCGTGGTGCTGTGGTGTCACAGCTCACACTAACCTCCAGCTCTTGGGCTTAGGCAATTCTCTTGCCTCAGCCTCCCAAGTAGCTGAGACTACAGGCACCCACCACAGCGCCTATTTTCTATTGCAGTTTGTCTGGGGCCGGGTTCGAACCCGCCCCCCTTGGTATATGGGGCCGGCACCCATCTCAACTGAGCCACAGGCGCCGCCTGCTTCACCTTTTCTGTCAGCATGTGTTGGGTATCAGATCTATTGAGAAAGTGTCACTTTTTTTTTCTTTTTTTTGAGACAGAGTCTCACTTAGTCACCCCCAGTAAAGTCATGGCGTCATAACTCACAGCAATCTCAAACTCCTAGGCTCAAGGGATTCTCTTGCCTCAGCCTCCCAAGTAGCTGGAACTACAGGTGCCTGCCACAATGCCCGGTTATTTTTAGAGACAGGGTCTCACTCTTGCTCAGGCTGGTCTTGAACCTGTGAGCTCAGGCAGTCCACCCACCTCTGCCTCCCAGAGTGCTAGGATTACAGGCGTGAACCACTATACCTAGCCTGGACTGTGCTTTCTGACTAGAATGTTCTTTCCTTCCCACCCCACCTCCCAGATCTGGGGACCCCTTCTCATCCACTAGGAGTCACCTCTGAAGTCACCTCAAGTGAGATATCTCCCCTGCCCACTGATCCACAGAGCACCTGCCTCACCCCTCCCTCTCTGTGATGGTGTTTGTTCCCACTCCTGCCTCCCCCAGCAGAGGACAGGGGCTGTGCATCTGATTTATCTGACTTAGCCGTGGGCATGGAAGGCTGGATCTGGTTGGGGCTCGCCCTGCGGCCCCTACCCTAGTCCCTCACTCTGGCTCCTCTTCCTCCCCAGGCTGAACTGATGAGTAGCCTCATCGAGTACTGCATTGAGCTAAACCAGGCCGCAGAGGCCACCGCCCACCAGGAGAGCATGTCTGGGCCCCTGTCGGCTCCCACCTCCTCGCCATCCCTGACTCAGCGCCCCAAGCTGCGGAGGCAGGGCAGTGTGGTATGCAGCCGCATCCAGCATCTCTCCACCATCGACTACGTGGAAGACGGTGAGCCACCCTGTGTGTGCGTGCACCCACACATGCTTATATACATTCTCTCAGCAGAGAAGGCAGCTTTTGCCTTCTGCCACCTCACCCACAGTGGGAGATGGTTCTGAGAGAAAGAATGTGTTTGGATGGGTGTTTGAACACTAATGATTCTGAAATATCTTTATGTCCTTGATTATATTTCCATTATGAACTACTGTTCTTTTTTTGTTTGTTTGTTTTGCCTATTTTCCTCCGTTACTTGGTTTTTATTTTATTCCTTTTTTGTTTGTTTGTTTTTTTGAGATAGTCTCACTCTGTTGTCCTTGGTAGAGTGCCGTAGTATCATAGCTCACAGCAACCTCAAAGTCTTAGGCTGAGTCAATTTTCCTGCTTCAGCCTCCTCAGTAGCTGGACCTTTAGGTGCCCGCCACAACATCCAGCTATTTTTTAGAGATGGGGGTCTCACTCTTGCTCAGGCTGGTCTTGAACTCCCTTCGGCCTCCCAGAGTGTTAGGATTATAGGCATGAACCACCTCACCGAGCTAAAAGGCCTCTGTTTTTGGTTTGTTTGGTTTTTATCAGGCCCAGGCGAGGTTCAAACTTGCAGGGACAGCACTTTAGCTATTGAGCTATGGCTGCCAACTTTCTTGATTTTTATTTTATTTTATTTTATTTTGAGACAGAGCCTCAAGCTGTCACCTTGGGTAGAGTGCTGTGGAGTCACAGCTCACAGCAACCTCCAACTCCTGGGCTCAAGCAATTCTCCTGCCTCTGCCTCCCAAGTAGTTGGGATTACAGGCACCTGTCACAATGCTTGGCTATTTTTTGGTTGCAGCCGTCATTGTTATTTGGCGGGTCCGGGCTGGATTTAAACCCGCCAGCTCAGGTGTATGTGGCTGGCGCCTTAGCCTCTTGAGCCACAGGCGCAGAGCCAACTTTCTTGATTTTTAAAAATCAATATCTTAGGGCTACGCCTGTGGCTCAAAGGAGTAGGGCACCAGCCCCATACACCAGAGGTGGCGGATTCAAACCCAGGCCTGGCCAAAACTGTGAAAGGAAGAAAAAAATCAATATCTTATACTAATATGGTAGGTACTTCTTCAGAGTTAATGACCTACTACTGGTATATTATTATTAAGTAAAAGAACATACTTTGGCTGGGCACGGTGGCTCACTCCTGTAATCCTAGCACTCTGGGAGGCAGAGGCAGGTGGATTGCTTGAGCTCATGAGTTTGAGACCAACCTGAGCAAAAGCAAGACCCTGTCTCTACTAAAAATAGAAAAAACTGGCTCGGTGCCTATAGCACAGCCAGCTAAGGCGCCAGCCACGTACACCTAAGGTGACGGGTTCGAATCCCCAGCCCGACCCGCCAAACAACAATGACGGCTGCAACCAAAAAATAGCCGGGCGCTGTGGCGGGTGCCTGTGGTCCCAGCTACTTGGGAGGCGGA